GCAGATCTTTTTAATGCTCAAACAGCAACATTACAGACTAACTAAAGTTGAAAAAGGGAAAAAGCATAATAGGACCCCTTTAAGGAGATACCAAAGATGATCATAACCGATGTCCATCATAATTGCAGATTGATATCTAAATTTTCTTAATTGTTCTTCTCACTCACATTCGGATATTGAATGAGACCTATTTTCCGGTTTGGTTAGGTAACATTCGACATATAACCCATTATAGTATTTATTTCATTTAGCAGTTTGCAATTTAGTCAAGTCCTAGACTATTTTTGCTGTATAATTTTTAATTTTACCATATTAAATTGGCACTGTTCTCATACTGAAACTATAATGTTACTGTTAATGTAATTCAATCAGATTCAATCCCTTAACCTTTCTCTCATTAATCTTATGATATTTATTTTTCTGTGTAAATATTTTAATAGCATAAATATAATCTAAAACATTCCCTTATATGCCAAAACCTGATCTTGACTGATTTCTTTGCCAGCAGCATTTCAAACGAAACCACAAATAAAGCTAATTATTTTCAAACTGAGGACAGAATGACTGGAAGGTCTGCGTGTAGCTTTAGCCATGACACAATGCAACAAATATCTCCCTGTTGAGACATAAAACAACTACCCAGCCAACTCTGTGTCTGAACCCAATGCAGATCAGTGGTTAAGAGGAACCTGTATACCGAGGTTAAAGGTTATTGATCGGCAATTGATTGGAATCCTGTCATCTTTAAATGGAGTAAGTGGAGCGTGGAGTCCATTAGAAATACATTATTTAAGAGTCAGGAAAGATGATCACATGAAATCAATACTGGATCCATTTGCCGAACATAATGGGTTTCTTAAACAATCATTAAAGGCACTTAACAAGACTTTAGTACTTGATACATGCGAGCACACGCACACACACAGATGCACACACACATTTTTCTTTTTCTCCAACCTGTTGTATAAGAACAAAGGTAGTAATGTGTGTGTGTGAGCACCACTGTCAGAGTGGAAATTAAGATCCGTCACAGTCGCCACCACAATTTCACGCCAAGTTTACCGGTTCAGACACGCACGCACGCACACCCTCACGCACACACTTATTCAAGCATAGTGACACACAGAAGTTTTCTGAGCCCATTGCTCCCCGTGACAACCAGATCATCTGCCTATGGATGCGTTCCCAGATACACATACTCATAGAGGACTGGCACACTGCATACGGGTCCATGTATGCGTGTAGGTGTCTAGTTTTGCCTGTATACAAGTGCTTTTTAAATAGGCTATGTGCATGTTTAGGTGTGTGTCACTTTTTGGTCCAAGCAAATGTTTTTGTTGTAATACTGTGTTCTCAGTGTGCTGAGCTGGGCCTATCGGGGGCTTTCTGGGTGGGGCAGTGTTGGATTGTCATTCATGATTTCCTACCGACTGAGTGTGGGAGAGAGAGAATAAGAGAGAGAAGTGTGTGTGCTGGAGTGGGGGGTGTGTGTGAAATTGGTCTATTATCAGCTTGAATATTCCATCAACACCCTCCTGAGTTCGTTCCTCCATTACAGTCATTCCACCTCCTTGTCTCACACACACACACACACACACACACACACACACACACACACACACACACACACACGCACACACACACACACACGCACACACGCGCGTTTACTTATCTATCTAAATGGGGACATTCCATAGGCGTAATGGTTTTTATACTGTACAAACTGTATTTTCTATCGCCCTACACCTAAACCTACCCCTCAGAGGAAACTTTCTGCATTTTTACAATTTAAAAAAAACTCTGTTTACTTTATTTTTATACCAGTTTTACAAATGAGGACGTCCCCAAAGGGAGGTTTTTGGAGATTTTGTCAGGTTTAGCTCACTTTTGGGTATAAATTTGTCCCCAAAATATAGTTAAGTAGGTATACACACACACACACACACACACCTTCTTCAGTGAAACTATTCCAAAACATTGTTTAGTTAATCAACTGTATTTTGGACCAAAACCAAATCCAACATTACACAATGTAAGGCCTTCGCCCACACATACGTGCACAAACATCTGCACCTTTAAGCACATACAGACATAAATGGTAACTTAGCTTAACCAACAATGTCAATTAGTAATAGGCGCAAATAAGAAGGAAACAGAAGAGTTCATTAGGGCAGAGTCACGTTAAGCCACCATCACCACCCAGTCGACTTTATCTGAGATTTGGGCTGCCTGGTAACAAATGCACAGACATTAACACTCAAGCATGTGTGAACAGGAAAACAGGGTGTATTTAGATTGACTATGAATGTCTGTGATCTAAATGCTCATGAAATATTTAAATAAATTGAAAAATAATATATAACTAAATATATATATTTAACAAAAATGCAAGTAATGCAAGTAAATCACTCACATCTGTGGCTAAATTTTCATGTTGGGTGACTAAATAATGTATAACATTAGCCATTGGCTAATAAACTGTTAGATTTCACTCACCAGTGTGTGAGTTAGAGGCTAAGTATAAGTTTAGCACAGATATTTTTTCACTCGCCGAACACTGACTGAGCACTTGAGATTTTCACTCGCTGTCGCATTTTTTCAATTCATCTCAATGGGTGCGCAGCATATTTGACGCACTGTAAACTCTAGTGTGAAGGTGCAAGTCTCGCCGACGCTTAGCTGAGAGTGCTCAGTGTTTCTCTTACACATGCAAGAGCGATAGAGTCATACTGACACACTATATGTAAATAATATTCTCTGTTGTACTTTTTTGGCTTCCCCGAAAATATCAAGCAGCTGCAGCACAACTGTTTTCAGCATATAATAATAAGAAATGTATCTGAGCACCAATCAGCATATTAAAAATATTATAAAAAAGATGATATGACACTGAAGACTGGAGTAATGACTGCTGAAAATTCAGCTTTGCTATCACAAGAATAAATTACATTTGAAAATGTAAAATGAAAAAATAGAAAAGTTATTTTAAATTGTAAAAATACTTCACAATATTATGGGTTTTACTGTATTTATGCGCAATAAAAATGACATTTAAAAAGATCATATAAAGCATAAAAAACTTATTTCAAAAATATTTAAAAATCTTATCGACCCCAAACTTTTGAAATGTTTTTATAAGTATATGCATGCTTTTTATCAACTTTTTATGCAAAGTTCAAAGTGTGTCCATGTGTACTTTTTATGTTTATTAGTAACTGTGTGTAGACCGCAGTGTGGACGTATTAGTGAATAGCTGCTGACAAATGTACTCCAGTAATTTCTTATTGGGTGTGTGTGTGTGGCTTTGCTCTCTCTGAGCTTGTTGCAACTAATATTTTCAGTTCAGGCTCGAGGTACTAAACGTCGGATCATCTCAGATACAGAAAGAGCAGACTAAAGAAAAGAGGAAAAAGAGGGCGTATGTCAGGCTGAAAGGTCTTACATTCAGGCTAAGGTGGGTGGGCTATATTTAGCTCTGAGTACTGGTGAAATAAGAAAAGGTCCGATATTTGTACTTATGCAAAAGGGCATGTGAACATTACACACAAAGCTGCAGAAAGAATCACACAGAAAACACCAAAAGTGCCTCTGCTAACTAAAAGTTGTCTATCTTAAAACACAAACTGCTCTTTCTGCCAGAGCTGATGACATTCAGCCTTAAACAGATCACATGACTGCATATATATAATTTCTAAATGTGTGGCTGGCCTTTCAGACCTGATCTAAATGTGGGTAATGAATAAACTGACATTTCACACACACGAGAGCTCAAAGAGTAAAAGCTACAACACACTCATTTTATCTAAACACACGCCGGAGGACTAACCCTTCTCAAGACATATGGCTCTCTGAAGAACCACCCCCACACACACACACACACACACACACACACACACACACACACAGATTGGTTGTATAGTAGATTGACAGAACACCATATGTCACTCAGAATCACATCTTACTCTGGGAGGAAGACGTACAAATTAGTCACAGACTTTACAGTCAGATTTGAACATGGACAACTGAAATTATTAAGATATAAATTAGGTCAATTTTGATTCACGTCCTATTTTAATATGTGTCACTGTTTGTTCTACAGTATATTGAATATGATAGTAATGTTGTACCAAAACAACAACAAATAAAAGCTAAATTAAAGCTAACTATCATTTACGGTTTGAAATATTCAAATTATTTTTTTACAGCCGATAGGGGGCGGCATTGACTACTGAAAGGATTAGCGTTATCTTTGTTTGACCATCAAATATCATGTGTCACTCACTCTCTTGGATGTCTTTGGGATACTGATCCTAAATCTGTTATTAAACGCTTTTACGGTAAAGACCCGTGTTTTCAGTTGTAAGCCGTGATGCGTTGTGAATATAAAACAGACTTACGTATTCAAATGACTCCAGAAAATTACAAACTAACCGAGATTATATATATAAAAAATAAATATTCTCTCTCTTTATTTATTCCTTCTCTTTCTAGCTTGTACTTATTTGAACAATGTCTAGAAACTTGGTATTACAAGCACTTCCTGTATCTGTTTGCCTCTTTAAGAAGAATCGCTTTATGTATCCCCCAATTGTAAGTCGGTTTGGATAAAAGCGTCTGCAAAATGACTAAATGTAAATGTAAATGTAAATGTAAACGAAAATGCAACCTAAGGGATAAACGTACGGAGTAACCATAGTAACAAGCAGTCAGTATCTTAAAAACTTTCGAACGTCTTATCTTCAACGAGAAAGACTAGACTCACTACAGGTTTTTGTAAATGCATTAGTCTCGCAGCTGAACTTCTCCGAAACTCGTTGTACAGAGAGGGACACCATGTTGCGACGTAGCCCTAAACGTGCGCTTTGATTGGTCCGTTTCGGAATGGGGCGGGGTTTAGCAGCTCGGTGGGCGTGGAGGTGATGGATCGCGAGCCACTGCACTGTGAACGGTGTGCGGGAGTGACTGCGGACGCACCGGATCCACGGTTAAGATTTAAGATCCAAGGCTAAAAGACGCGTCATTTACTCGCAAAGGAAGAGCCGAACTGCTGGAGTTTCCCCATCTGTTTTTATCCTTGAGACGAAACTGTGTGCACCGTTCGGCACGCGAGCCAGGAGCGGACAGTAGCTGATATCCCGTCTATCAGCATGCGCTAAAACGCCAGACCATACAATATAAGAAGCAGCAAACCTCGGGAGTTTACTTTTCATGGTTCTTTTTGAAAGAAAATCCAGATGGAATTGGACAGACATTTTTGGCAGTCCTGTGACTGACAGTTAAGCTTTGTTCCAGGACACTTTGAACATGGATGTAAGTCGATAAATTTCGGACAAAACTGTTGCATATCTAAAGCGCATCTCTATGATCTGGGATCAAAAGCGAAAGGAGTCTATTTTAAATCTGACACATGATCAGGACCGGATTTGTGCACCAACCCGAACCCCAACACGGGATTGATGGTCCTTATACCTGTGTGCGTGTCACTCACCTCCTATCTGGCGTGATTTGATCTTTTGTAAGGCTACTAGCTCAACTAATAGATGACGAGTACAATAAAACAGTCACGCGCTGTCGTTTACGTTACCTAAGTGAAAGGTAGCAGCGATATTGGTAACAGAGAAACGTTGGCCCAGAAGCCGCCTGTGCAACGTTGTGCGACACCGTTTTTCCCTCCAGGCAGCACTAGAGAAATTGGATTTGGAAATTGAGCCATGGAGCCCCTCCGCCTGGACGCATAACCTAGTCTGTTGCATGTGGTTCGGTAACCCGGAGTACAGTCGATCGAAGGGATCCTATCTTCTTGCTGGCTTGTGTCTCTCCGAGAAGCGTGTAAGATGGCTGGAAGTGACTGCTCGTGGAAATATTACCTCTGGATTTTGACAGCCATGTGCAGATACGCGTTACCCGCAGCCAAATCACTGGAGTCTGTTGTGTGGAATTCACAAAATTACAAGTAAGTTAAGTGCACGAGCGCGTGTTTAATACAATCCCATAGAAAGAGCATGACATGTAGCCTACAGTCTCAGATGAGTGATATTAATAGTTTGACTTCTATTGATCATGAAATAGACATACAGTTTGAGCAGTCCGATTTGAAAATCTCCGCTACTCGTATCACGGCTCGCTCTCCGGCATGAGGACATGAAGCTCGAGGCTGAAGTGGCCGTGCAAGCGCGAGCTCTCCGGGGATCTAACGCACAGCTGTCATAACGCTTTTCTTCAACTCAAAATCCCTTGTTGATCGGGGATTCGGCAACTGTACTGCTAGTACAACTTCGTTCAATCTTTATGGGAAAGATCGTCATTTTTAAGAATCTCTTGGCTGCTACGAATTCGGCTACATACATTTAATGTGTGGCCTTGACGCGGGCCTAATTTCTCCGTAACATACTTGTAAAAATTAGAAATAGGCAGATCTGCTACTGCTACTCGATGTTTTTAGCACGAAACTCGCACTCTGTCTCTCTCTCGGCGTGTCCAGCTTTTCTTCTTTTCCCATGAGAGGCGAACTGACTCTCCGCCACCGGCATGCCCAGGATCCCATCCTCCCGGCGGCCCGATGGCTCTTTGCGAATGTCATATTGATCAAATCAGAGTTGTGTCTAGAGAGTTAATACGTTTTAAAGCAGGGGTTTCCTAGACGCTCATAAAAGCTCCCTGATTGCTGCTCATAAAACGTTCAAGGGAGCGTCCAGCATGTTTACTTAACCTGAATAATGGCTCGAGACTGAAGCTGAAGCTTGACTCAACATAATAAAGAAAGAAAGCTTATTGTTTAAGTTTGCATTTGTAAAAGAAGTCATGATGTACTTTTTTTTTTTTTTTACCTCAATGTATATCTTAACCAAAAGTTGATTTTATATTGTCTTGTTAGTTGACTAACATGATGATATGTCTTTTTTTGCATTTTGTTTTGAGCATTTTGTGTGTGTGTGTGTGGAATACTGGCTGTCTCTCAAAACCTAATGAGCTGCCTACCAGCTAGACAGCATTTTTGTTTGTGGTGGCGGTGGGCATCTAGACAGCATTTTGGGCATCATAGGCTCATCTTGGTAGGCAGCTCAAAGGGTTTTGAGACACAGTCGCTGAGTTATGAGCGTAAACGGGTTCAGGAATAGTGCACATGTTTTTCATCTTTGGGGGAATATTTTAATTAAGGAGTCTCTTAGTTGGCCTTGTAAAAGATGAGCAAAAAACTTGAAAACTTTAGCATGCGAGAACCCAAGGGGCGAAGCGAAAACATAAATTGTGCTTTTAAAACTAAAACCGCACTGTAAATTACAAATGAACATACATTTTTAATTTTCTCATGCTTAAACTGAGTAAGGAAGGGAAGAAGGGGAAAATAAAATAGCTGTTTAGAAATTGGGTAACACTTTATAACAACTTTAATGTAGTTAAACATTATTACATTATAGAATGCTTAACTGCTATTTAGTTAATTAATATACACTCAGAAAGTTAGAAATGTTATGAAAGATTTATAAACTAAATATATTGATATCTTTTTAAGCACTGTATGAAGTTTTAAATGACTTTTTAAAGTTATTTTACTTATTAAAGTTTTACTAAAATTAATTTAATGCAGCCCCTTAATTCAGACATTTTATATACATATTTTTCCATTTATTTATAACTTTTAATTTTTGCAAGTTAATGTTTTTATACATGTTGAAAAAGAACCCATTTTCCTACATACAAAGCACTTGGGCTCTCAAGATTGAAAGTATGGAAACTTCATGTTTTGAGTTTTTTAAATTATTATTTTAATAATAGGCCTATACATTTTGAAATGTATGTAGGAGTTAAACCCGTTAGAGAGATCTTAAAAATCAGCAACATTTGAGCTTCTCGTCCTGCGAGAGAAGATTTCAGATCAGTCGCTGGAGCCCCTCTGTGTATGGATTGTTTTACTCATTGAAACAGCTTTGAGCTCTATGGCACAGCAGATGCTCAAACTGGCCTGGTCTGTTTTACCACAGTTGCTGCATGTTGTTTTAAGTACTTAATGTTTATTTACTTACAGACTTTGTGTGTGTGTATGCACCTGTGCATGAGCATGTGTGTGTTGCTCAATCACAGGTTCAGAGACCCTCACTAAAGATTGAGAGGAAGAGAATTTGAAACCGCGTGTGAAGTCAAGAAAAATAATATCAGAATCGTTTGTTAGTGAACATTTTTTAATTTAACGAGAGGCACGTCCGCATATCTCAATCTCATTAAAACAGCGCAGTAACTCGATGTACACTGATGAATTGGTCGTTGAACGCAAAGATTATACTAAGCACTCTCATAAAGACATATGGGCCTCGGGCAAACACACTCTTTGCGCTCTATCCCCGCAACGGACATATGGGAGCATCCACCACCACTAAGTCCAAGTCACACTTTAAACCTCTTACCAGACTCTCAGCAGTGAGGCCATCACACACACACACACACACACGCACGCACACGCGGCTCTCTTACCCATAATAATGTGCCATTTGTGTTTTAGGTCAGACTTCTCTCAGACTGAATGCAAAATATAATTGAAGGACTGTAAAATTAGAAAAACTCCGGCTGCGTTCTCCACCCCTCAGCACTCTGATATTTATATCAGCAAAACGCTAAATTTACTGAACACTAAAGCTACCCCTGCGTTTTCTCTAGAAGAAACATTTGGTGGAACAAGAGCTTCACTGATTTATTCTGTTGACACAATTATGTAAATTTAATTACTTCTAGACCCAACTACACATACGCACTCACGCACAGACTTACCGCTGGTTTCAGATGTATAATTCTGTTCCTATCTGCATAGTTCACAGCTATAATTTGGACTGAGAAAAATGTAAATGCGACACCCCTCCCCTCCCTTCCTCTGCCTTGAGGGAAGAAAAGAGAAGTGGGATCTGCTGGGAATAGAGAGAGCGACAGACAGAGAGAATAAAGTAGCTAATCATTTGGACAATTATCACATTGAGGCAAGAGATTTCAGGTTATATCTTATTCCCTTAATGTGTCACATACACCCAATCAAACACACACAAACAACAAAATGAGGACTCGGCTTTACTTCCCACGTACGTCATCAAATTCTTCTAGTTACAAATTAATATAATTTTACTACATTCAAGTTCTTGGCAGCCACTCACTTATCAAGAAAACACTCTAGCTGTTTAGAAACAATTTTCTGATAAACGACTGCAAATTAACAATTTATTTTGGCTTTTGGATTTTTTTACGAACAAAGTAAGAGGGAGTCCATGATATATGTATGAATGTGCATGTGTGTTTTGGCCATTTTCCAGTGCTAAGGGAGGAGATGAAGGAGCTAATTGGAAATCTGTCTCTCATTAGCTCAAAAATGCTACTGAAGTATTTTACTTATGTGTGTGTGCGTGTGTATTCAAGCGTACAAGTTTGTTCATTTACCCAACACTCTGTGGTGCACAATTAGTCTTAATCAGCAACTTCTATGTGCAGACATAACCGTCTAAAGCAGCAGTTAAACATCCTGTTCAGCTCATGAACACACTTTACCAAAAAAAAAAAAAAAAAATCCAACTCAAACTGCCTGAAAATTACGACTTTTTTCTGCTACTGATATTCCTAAAAAGTGTTGTTTTGGATCCTACTGACAAAACTCCACAAAATATTGTTAATGTTCCACAGATGAAAGAAATTCATACAGCTTTGGAAATGATTTGAGTTTTAGTAAAAAATGATAGAATTTTCAAGCAGTTGGCATTGGATTTTTAAACCGGCATCCCTCTGAGAGGCACCAAACATGTTCGGATTTGCTGCATCTCACGAATGTAGAAATTTCCAAAAGCAGTTTTTTGGGTCTGAAGAATCTGATTATACGACATGAAAAGACATAAACGGCCTTTGGCCTGCTCAGGGATCATGTTGGTCTCAACTGCGATCAAAGTTACGGATTTCCACATATGCCTGTGTGACTGTTCGGGAGCATTTAGGACATGTTTAGGCATATATTCAGTCATCCACAGCAGTAATAATTATTCTCAGAGTCACTCTGAGTATCACTTTCAGTCATGTGTCCGTGTGCATTTACGAGTGTGTATGCGTGAATTGGGTCTGAAGAATCTGATTATGGACGTCATGAAAAGACATAAACGGCCTTTGGCCTGCTCAGGGATCTTGTTGGTCTCAACTGCGATCAAAGTTACGGATTTCCACATATGCCTGTGTGACTGTTCGGGAGCATTTAGGACATGTTTAGGCATATATTCAGTCATCCACAGCAGTAATAATTATTCTCAGAGTCACTCTGAGTATCACTTTCAGTCATGTGTCCGTGTGCATTTACGAGTGTGTATGCGTGAATTGTGTGCGTGTTTGTGTATGCATGAGTTAGTGTGTGTGTATGTCATGATCAGTGGTGTTATAATAGGAGTTGACAGTGAGGAGATTAACTCTGTCAGAGTTTCAATATGTTGAACAGCAAGAGAGGACTCACGCAGACTCACGCACACACACTTCCCTCTGTCTCAGCCGGCATTTCCACAACAGACCTGTTACTCTCTGAAGTGTGTGTGAAGTGGCTTTTGTTCCAGCGTTGATAGCATTTCACGGTGTTGTGTAGGGCTGCACGATAAATCGCATGCGATATTTAACGCGCATCTTATCAGTAAAGCCGGTTCTCGT